CGCCGGTCCCCGAGGCCGCGGGGCTGCCGCCGGCGCGCTGCTGAGTCAGGGCAGGAGCGGTCCCGGCCCCGGAACGGGCTATTTATACTCCCGCCATGTGAGCGGGGGAGCGTCCCATGGCCAGCTCACTTTTTCCACTCGCCCGATTAAAACTGTACGTCTTGATTCTCCTTGGAAGTCCGCGGAGGAAATTTGGGATGCTGGTTTTGATACAAGCCTCATTTCCACGCGCTCTTCCCCACCCCTGCTCCAGGTTTCTTCAATTCCTGCGCTGACTGCAGGCAGGGAATCTTCCAATATTTCTGCTCCCAGCTTACCTGGAGCAGGGCCAACGCTTCTTAATATAGACCGAGGCACGATCGTCTGGCAAAAATCTTCTGCCTATGCAGATCTGTTTTCAATTTTATTTTCCAAACAGAAGGATGTACTGTGAAGCAGCGAGCTTTCTAACTGACAAATAAGCTTCGGGGACGGGTGGTTTTTTAAGTTTTGGCACATACAGAAAATAGGCTGAAACTTTCACTGTAAAACTGTCGCGTAATAAAATCTTCTCAGATCTCATCTCCATTTATAATCATTTATGAATAAAAATTACAATCAGCAATAAGTAAAATCATATGTTCAAGTAATGCTGGTGCACTATGCAAAAATAGGGCTGGCCTGGGCATATGCTGAAGGCGTGGACACAAAGTCGGTACGAAGGACAGAATGCACAAAAAATGGCAGAACACATACAAGTGAAGACAAATGGAGGCATGATTTGAAAATTTATTCTTTTATGCCCTCTATCCTTTTTTTTTTTTAATATAAACATATGCCTATATACTTTCTATGAAAATTGCATCAAACATACGTATACCTGAGTTGTTTTGCCCTCACACGGTTGACTGAAAACACGTAATTGGTTTTAAGATGTGAATCACAAAACCATAAATAACATGATACCTCAACCAGTGTAATATTAAATATAGGGTACAGCTAAGTGTATTGGCTCCTAATACAAGTTTCACAA